CATATTATGTTGTCTCTGAAGTCTTACACACGTACATTTTATGTATTGATTATTGATTCTATTAAATTTAACCTAACTTAAATATTTATAATTATTTATTGACCTTATAATTTACATTATTAATATTTCCTAAAATGTTAGGTTAGGTATGAGGTATCTATTAATTATAGCAATCGGAGGCGATTCCAGTATAAGAGGGTCATTACCTAAAATAGTAGGCAATTCAAGTGTTATATTTTAGAAATTTGGTGGCAATTCGAGTAAGTTTTCGAAGACAAATAAATAAAATGTGAGGTGGAACAGACAGTTTCCGTCGTCTCGTTGAATCTACCAAAATGTAAGACGATTGATGACGGTCGTTGTAACTTGTAGTCTTGTTTGGCGTTTTCTGGCCAGAACACGGTTGTGTACTGCATAACGTTATATTTTTACCTGAGAATTGGAGAACGATTGGGTAAACACATTTATTGGTGTACATATTGTCCATACTTATACTCGTACATTAAACATATTATGTCTAAAAATTAAAAAATTAAGAGGATCTATTACAAACGGATAACACAGCAAATTTGGGTTCAACGGTTGAACTTCTATAGTTCTAACGAAACACCTATTTCGTACTGTTGCTTTAATATTATACTAAGTGAATATTGACCAATTACTTTTAACAAATATAAAGGTAGAAACATTATATATTATGTATGTTCTCGCATGTTAATTTAAAAAAAATTAGTGTGTGTGTGTTACCTGTGTGCGTGGGAAGTGAAACTTCTTTTGAATTTTACACGTGAGTTAATATTAATTAATTTAAAAAATGAGATGAAGTTATCCGGAATTATTTATTATTGATACTTTTATTATTTTTATTTTTATTCGACAGATCGATGGATAATTGCTTGTAGCATTGTTTTTATCCAGGTAAAAGGTTTGTGAGTGAATTAATCAATTAATAACAATTAATTAAATATACTAGATGCTAAATGATATTGGTCTCTGAGTATAGATGCTATAATAATCGATCATTAATTATTCATATTAATTAGTATGGGCCAAGATAGATGAATCTGTTTTTTATTTTGCAACGTTTATATAATATTTATTCCGCAGCAAAAAAAAAGTCACTTAACTAACGCGGCTCACGACCACCACTTACCTCGCAACGCTTGTAACACTTAATTTTTTTTTTATTTGATATTATTAATAAATTCACTCACAAATCTTTCTTTCTGGATAAAAATAATTCTGCAAATCGATCTGGCTAACTTACTTTCATTTTTTGGATTAATTAATAATAACCGAACTGCAAAATAACAAACATTTTGAACGTCAGTACGATATTCTACAAATTTTTTACAAACTATTCATTATACACACTATTATTATTATTATTATTATTATTATTTAAGTCGTTTCCGGCAAATCACATGCTAATGAATCAAATAACACGACCGGCATGTGTATTTTTTAATGTACGTACAACAATCGTGCACACGCTGGCAGGTATACCTACATATCTATATATTATTATAGTTAGGGCAGTTAGGCACTGTATATCTATATTGGTAGTGTACAAATGTACAATCAGACCATATACTGGTGTACTTACTAGGTATAATAATATATCGTAAATCCCATCGGCACCACGAAGCTTTTCGAGTGCATATACATATACACGTTGCAACGCATTATATTGTATGCATATTCGTCGTCTCCGTCACAATAATATATTATGTGTATGGACGTATGGTATATTCAGCGCGACGGTAGTGACTAGTGGCGCGAAGCTAAGTAAAAAAAATAACGGAGTAGCCACTAACGTAATATAATAACAGGACACCGAGTTTTAACATTGAAAAATCGTCCTAATTTATGTCAATTCTTTGCCAAGCTCTACAGGGCAAACGGCTGAACATATAAAGTCGTATGAGGTATCAATCGATCATAAATATTGTGCAGATGGGAACAGAGAAATTCGCTAGCAGATAGTTTAAAAGTTATAAGCAACAATGTTCAAGTACTTTTAAGACCGATTTTGCGTATGGTACAGTGGGGATTGATAAGCGGTGGGTCGGGGAACGAAAATATCTTAAATATCCCCCGACCCGCCGCTTATCCATCACCACTACTCTCATCGCGGCGGCGGCGGCGACGACGACGTCCGACGATTGGCGATTGCGACGGCGCGGTCTCTCGGTCCTCGGATTCCGGTCGTTGGCAACCATTTACCATTATACGATTTCGTGTATTGTTGACGAGTGACGACCAGCAAGATAGTATAATATAGATAATAGATTATAGGTACTTTCTGACGACTCAACGACTGTGATTGTTTAGTGAATTCGTGATCCAGCTCGACGGTATCAATGTATCATATTATTATGCTGAAAACTTGGAACAATAATAAAATAAAATAGGTAATCTGGTGATTAATTCAGTACCCGTGGCAACAATTAAGGTCGATGGCAAATAATATATGCTCTTAATTCTGTGATTTCCCATCATGGTCCATCTATGATTCTCAAGTCTCAAGCCCATTACACATCAGTTATTAAACATAATAATAAAATATGGGTTAGATGTAATGATATAATATTTATATTCTAGTTTTAGAAAAAAAAACTAAAATAGAAAAAAAGATATGACAACTGGAGGCCAACGATGCGTATGCTATTATGGATTACTATTATTATATACAGTAAAATAATATTTACTACTACTTGATCAATAAGTTTACTAGGAAATGATCGAGGAGATTTGGAATATTTTAATTTTCAGTTGTGATATTCAAGAATAAAAATATCGAAAAAATATGATATTTTTGTATTTATATTATTCATTATGACACTAACAATAATTATTGGAATATTCAAAATCGCCTCGATCATTCCCTATTAAACTTGTTGATCAATATTCAATCATAATCCGTTTTCAAAATTAAAATCTGTCGAACAAAATTCTTCCAGTTTTGTCTAACTTATTGGTCTAAAAGTCACTTTTTTTCATTGACTGGAGCCCCTTCCAGCCACCTTAAGGTTTATTTTATGACACGGAATTTAAATATATTGAAAAACATTATAACAAACAAGATTAATTAATCTTAAGATTGGTCAAATCTACATTAGTTCGACTTTTGACAAAACCTGCTGCAGCCCCGCCCCCCTTAATTTATGACTTTATATTAAGTTTTATTTCTAACAGATTATACATTTATACATGTAGGTACCCACATTCGTAAAAGAAACCTTGAAGAACGTTGGTAACTGTAAAATATATTATAAATAAATATTATAAACATTAAACATAATATTCCTGAATAATTAATGGTCAGAAAGATCTAAAAGTTGAAAGTTAGTCCCATGGAACTATGTGATTAATTTAATAGATATTCATTTTTTGATTTTCTAAAAAAATTGTGAAATTTGTATTGAGACCTTAAGTTTTTAGTTTATTGTCTATAACAAAATATATATTCTGTCTACACAATATAAAATAATCATAGAGTTATTAAGTATCTTTAATTTCTGTGAAACACGTACCTAATAAATAGTTATTAATTATTAAACGACTACCCAGAAAACTAGAAATTAGTAATTACGAACAACCTATTTATCTATATACCTATTAACATTTAACAGCATTGATTAATATAATTGATATTGTACAATATAATCAACGCTAATATGTATCTAATTACTATAATGATTACTCGGAAGTTAGTCGGAATACCACGAAAAATTAACCTAAACAAACTTCCGTCAGTGGGTCACAGTCGGTTTTTGACTTCTGTATAGTGTACACCGGTTGGCGCCAACCTAAAATCTATCATGTAACCCCTCTGAAATTTTTCTTAAAGAGAGGGTACCTGAGGGGTGGATGGTAAGCGGTAGCATGCGGGTCCCCAAGTAAATGTAATATGATAATATACATATACTCAATAGGTAGGTAGTTAATAACGATCTGAAATATAATTAGTTATATTATATTAATACGTTATTATGCATTAATACTTGGGGTGTTTGTGGAAAATTTTTTAGTTCGCCACGCCACTGATGTAATCAGTAGGCACCAGTTATAATACGACGGTTGACGGCTGTAAAAGCAACGTCGCATTCCGGCGCGTTAATTGTTCAATATCACGGTTATCTACCACTACTTACTAGATAACAGGTGACAAGTGCCTAGTGTCCATAGAGTTATATGGCGGGTTTCCACTTTACACGTTTGCCGTGTACACGAAAAATGTTCAGCTGTGGCCTGTGGGTAACTTAACCTAACCAACCAATCACAGCAAAGGATTTGTATGCACGTACGTGTATAGTGGAAACCCGCCTTAATATTTATAATATTTAATACTCTATGGGTCATTCTTGGGCACGATCATAGACAAAATTGTAAACATTTTTTTGTTTAAATGATGTCTCTAGACACGAATATAAAGAACTTATTTTGCTGGGTCAGTACGGGATGGGGACAGTAAGTTGTTCTACGGACGGCATCGCGCTACGGGCCCGCTGGGCGCTTATCTAGTGGGTCCGTGGAATAAAGTTTATTCAATAAACCGTTTGTCACTCGGTCAACCGACGCGTCTCGGGTGCGCCACGATCGCCGGTCACCTCGGAAGGGTACCACCAGACTGCGGTCTTGTTCCGCATTCCTCCCGCGCCCCCGCCACATCCAAGACCACGTGTTTCCGACGTCCGTGACCCTCCACCCGGTTTCAAGTGCGACATTCAACATGTCAACACTGTAGCCGTTCTGCGTTCCGTTGCTGCGCGCTCGTGTCTCCGTTAGATTAGATATTATAGGACGTGGTCATTACACGTTTACGTCGGTCATTCGCCGAACGCCGATATTGGTAATCGTTGTCATCGCCTCGTCGATTTTAACGACCGTTCGAAGTTGAAAACGGTGAATATTGTTGTATCTGGCCCCCGCTCGTAACGATTGTGCTATCTTCATCATCGGCGTTTTATACTTGTAGCCGTTTCGGTTTTGAAAATATGTCCGACTCCGACAATAATTACGGATCGGACGACGATTCATGGTGCTTTTCGATCGGAGCAGCGAGCGATATCAGCGAACCCCGATTGATTTCGGCGGACGATGACTTCCTAAACCCGTCGCTGTCGACATCGAGTGGCCGGTCCAGCCGGTCGAGCTCGGTCGGCCCAGCGGAATCCATTACCACCGACGACGACACGTCAGACACGTCAACCCCCCTCGACGAGACAGAGTACGAAATGGACGATATTGGGAATGACGAAGTCATCGTATTGAGCGACGACAACGACATAATCGTATTGAGCGACGGCGACAACAACGACATAATCGTATTGAGCGACGACGACGACACCGTGGGTACAGTAGCCCATTCCCAACCACCGACAACGTCTAACGGCCCCATGTCTACGTTGTCCGCGTCTCGCCCGAAGACATCAAAGTGCAAGGAGGAAGAAACCGCCGCCTGTTCCCAGCCATCACCAACGTCTAACGGCCTCATGTCTACGTTGTCCGCGTCCCGCCCGAAGACATCAAAGCGCATGGAGGAAGAAACCGCAACCTGTTCCCAGCCATCGCCAAGGTTTAACAGGCCCATGTCCATGTTGTCTACGTTTTCCTCTACGACGTCGACTTGCACGGAGGATGAAACCGTCACCGTCAGGTAAACGTCATGCGATTTTATTGCAATCTCGACGCACCGGCGGACCGTTATCGCATGTTGTTGTTGTTAACTTTAGCCCACCTGTGTGACCGTGTGTTATCTCAGCCAGCGGGCAAAACAATATTATGATTTTTGATAAAGACCCACCGAAAAACAATAAAAATTAAATCGTCTTGTATAATAATAGTGTGTGTATGTAATGTGTGTATTTAATGTAGGTACGTTTTAAAAATAATATAATAATATTCTAAATAAACTTATATATATAAGTTGACGTCCACCTTTGGAAATCTGTTCATCGTTAAATATTAGATATTTTGGATTCTAGACTAAAAATGAAAATTGATGCTCTAAGTCTCTCTAGTGGTACCATTAATTAATTTAAATATTTGGGGACATCTATGTTTATTACATTTAATGATCAACTTGATACCTACTACCTAACCTTAAGACGGGTATCAAATAAATTACATTTATTTCTATGTATAGACTTTAATATATAAATAGGACCTATTGTCATAATAATATTTTCCCTCTTATAGTTTGAAAACACATTTATGAACTTTAAGTTTGATTGTATGTAGTTTGTTAATCATTAACTAGGTAATTATGATTTTTTGATTTGTAACTGCAGCAGCGAGTCAAACGGCGAAGAAAACTTCTCTTCATCATCCGTCAAAAATTATCTTCCACCATGTCTAAGTTCCCATAAACTTTGCTTCGACAATGGGATTGAAGTGGACCGAATTTTGGGGGCTATCATCCATAACAGACAACTTTTGTTCCGGGTAAGGTGGAGGAACGACAAGAACGGCGGAACAGACTACGTTGATGCGTTTGAAATGCACGAAAGATGTCCTCATATGTCGCTCCAGTATTATGATGAAATTTATAAAAATAAAAATACTGATAAGGCTGATAAATAACTATACTAATAGATCTTTAATAATCTAATGAGCACCGATTAAATAAGTACATGCCTAATGTACACACACTTTTATATTTTTTTTTATAATTTATCATATTAAAACATTTGCTTTTTACTCAGCTTAGTTTAATAATGTATTTTGGCGACGCTCAACTCTTACATGTCATTTATATATATGTTTAGGCCTCAGAAATTAAATCTTTGGCTTGTGAATTCATTTACTGATTGTTGCCAAGCAAAATTTATTTTATTTTTATGTAGTGTATCTGGTTTCCATGTATATTATTAATAACAAATATAGTTTTAAATGTTTTTAATGAATTTTATCTGGATATTTTTTTATCAATACTTGTAGTCATGATAATAATATGTTCCTGAGTAATTTTGTCCATGATTATTGACAATGTATCAGTTATAGACTATAGTAGTTTGAAAGTATTTAAAACTACAATTAATTGAAATAACTTCTTTTTATAAATACATGATCCATGTGATCAACATTATAATTAATATATATTTATATACAATATTTCAGTGTTTAATAATTTCAATTTTGTTTTATTTGATTATAAATTTACAGATAAACTAAACTATAAAGTACTTTTATAATGAATAATATTCAACTGGTATTCATTTTTATTTCACATTGATTACATTAAATAATGAAAGTGTGTTTATGTATTTACTACATAAATAACATAATACAGACATACAGTGAATAACATCTAAATACCGGAGAATCTGGAATTTTGTCTGCTTTCGGATGTGTCAACTACATATTTGGGGCATTAAGTTAGTAGAAAGTTTATAGTTTGTTCCCAAAAAAATGTCCACCATTTGAAGGTATCCACTATTTACAGGTGACCGTTAGGGGTTTCACTGTATGTCTGTATAATGTATATATATAATATATACATATAAATTTATAAAATTGTTATGAATTGTGTAAAAATAATTGTCTTGGTTGAATTAGTGTTTATCATGTTTTAAGGTTAGGTTAAATAATTCGAAACCGACCGAGTTCACTAGTTCAGTGTTATATATTATGTAATTTTCTATGCGTGTGCATTCGGGTCGTGTAAATGTGTACCTAGTAACTTAAAGACATTTAATATAAAGATCACATAGTGTGAGTGACTCTTGACTGTGTACCTACCTACTAACCTACCCATGACTAAATAAACAGCCATGTCAGCTAAAATTTAATTTTGCGTATGTTCCTCAGACATGGAAAGAATAATATAAAATGGATAATGTAGATTATTATAATTAAGCGTACAATATTTAGGGTTTATCCTAAGTCCGGGGAACATTTTATCACAATTTTATGCTCAGTGTTATCGAGCTGACATACCTGTAATTATTTAGTCATGTGTCATGTGTCTTGTCAGGTACCTATAAAATAAATAGTGGAGAGCTCCAGAAACTGTCAATAACTCATTTCTCAAAATATTATTTTAGGTATTTTATTTTTCTGTCAAAAGTATTAATAATGCTTGTATGCTAGAAAAAGCTACATGACTATTGCTATACGGTCGGATCTTAACTCTGTATAAAGGTCTTATTTACTTGATCTGCCTATAGGTAAATGATGGATCGAGGGTTTTTTCTAGTACTAAAATCAGTAAAATCTAAACTATTATACCTAAATGTTTAAATAAAAACAGTTTTTAATTTTAAATAAGCCGACCATAAATAACTGTAATAAAAAATCCCCCCATCGATTACTAGTAGAATAAACTACAATTTCAGAGCAGTTTTCAGAAATAAAATCCGATAACACAAAACTGTTGTCTCTATTTTTGGTTTCCATTACTACATTTTTACATCGGTATTCAATCCGGCAATTCCCTTAAATAACGGGTCCTTGAATTTGAAGAAAGCATAATATTATAATTTATTTTATTAAAATATATAATATTTTAAAATGATTACTAGTGGTTATCAATTTAATTGTTACTTATATAATGTTTAGTTAAATAAAATACATAATTTTAAGAAATTATAAAACAGATTTAGCTTTAATATTGATTTTAGATTCTGAGTGAAATGATGAATGTATTGATTTTACAATGTTTTTTTTTTTATCATTTTTTTAAATTTTTTGTCTGTCATCACCTTTTAGGAAAGTAAAAGTGCTTGGATTTTCTTCAACAGTATCTTTTCTGATAGGAAAGTGAATCTAGTTGGTACATTGGGGGGGGGGGGGTCAAAAGTAAATATTTCCCAGTAGTTTTCAAAAGTGACGTGAAAAACAAAAAGAAAAATTAAGGAAAAACTTGAATGTTTAAGCAAAATCTGTTTTTGAGAAAATCGATTTTGGTTTTTGGTATAACTGTAAAACGAATGACTGTAGATACATGAAATTTTTACTGACTGTTTATATTAGCATTTTCTTTACAACATGCCTTTTTTGTTTAGGGACACTTTCAGTTTTCAATTTTTTTAGTTTTTTATTCTATAAATATCAATAAAATGTTATTTGTTGGTTAAAAAAGCTTGAAAATATAATAGAGAGCTCCTACTATATTTTTTCAAAAGCAGATGAAAAATATTAAAAATCCTTAGTCACAGTTTTTTTTGTAAGCATTTAAAGTTCAAATATTGACAAAATATGAAAAAATCAGGAATTATTTTGAGTTAAGAATTCGTAAAAATTTTTCTTTTTAAATCTCCGCTCAGAATCGTTTTTCTTATACAATGATATGATATCATTGAATTCAAATGTAATACCATCCATTATACAGTGACCCACTTGTAACCTACTGCACCTTTTTTTTTTTATCCTGTATACAAAATTTCTAGCAGAAGGAGTGCTTCGATATCAACATATGGGTAGTATCTGATCTTTTAGAAAATTGGGTCAAGATTTTACTTTGAAGAGGTAATTTTTCGATTTTCTCTATAGTTATTTAATGCCACTGGAAAAACCACCGATAAATTACAAAAAAACCGTTAAAAATGGGGTTTTAATTTCTTACGCTTTGTATATCACCATCAGAACGACTAAAAATAAAAATAAAAATAATGATTTTAGTTATTTTGTTGTAATTTATAATATTAATTCAACATACATACTATTATAAAATATTATAATCCTGTAATATACTGGTAGTTTAGATGACTACTTGTATATCAACGTTGCAGGTAGCTAGACCGTTTTGTTATGACGATGAGGTATGAGTTGAATAATTTTAACACAATTGTAAATTATACTGTTGTTTATTCAATGTTCCAGTAAATCATAAATGGTGCTAAGTCCAAATAACAATCGCTACACAGAGTCTCGTGAAGGTTCTTGCAGTAGCGATGAGTGGACACGTCTGAATACAGGCCGTTTCGGGGTCCCTCTTATAGTCCGGTCCCCGCTCCCCTTGCCTAGTGATATTGTATCTCGGTTCTCACGGATGTGGTCTTTGTGGCTATCGACCTAGTTCACGCATTTGCGAAATTCTAATCTAGTCTGCGTATTACTATAATTGACTGGTAGTTAATTTATTGGCTACCCGTTGTATTATACTTAATTACGAGGTCTGTCCGGAAAGTATCGGGCCTACGTTTATATCTTCGCGCCATAGTGTTCGAGCGACCTCTGCTGGACAGAAACGTCAACAGTAAAGCCTCACGAATCTATCGGTTACTTACTGACATCTGCCGAACGTATAGTTCATGCGCAGCGTGTCTTTGTTTACAGTGCCTTTTTCACGTTCGTCGGATTTTGATATTGTCAAAAATGACTGAAAAACAAGATCAACGAATTTGCATCAAATTTTGCTTTCAACTCGGAAAAACGAGTTCGGAAACTATTGAAATGATGCAAAAGGCCTTCGGAAGTGAGTGTATGAGCAAAACACGAATAAAAGAGTGGTATAAGCGGTTCAAGGATGGTCGCACTTCTGTTGATAGTGATATATCAATCGTATTATACACTTTTATATTGAATAACGCTATTGACAATATCACATCCTCCTATTCTACATAACTGTAAAACATGATTGTGACAATCTGTTGTGGTATTATTCGAATATCGTTTCCCCTCGAGTCAATCACTGATTTATTGTAAATTCGTTTATCCTTTCGTTTTTGATTACCTACTTTACCTCCCATGAGCTGTTTGACTATATTGTATTAAACATAATCGAAGGCTAACTAGATATTTTCTATTTTCAATCGAAATATCGGATTGTTACCTATCTACAATGTGCTACCCTAAATATGTTACCTGCTAGGACTTTAATTGTTACGTAGTAACTCGCTTACTAAAATACAATATAAAATATCCAGACTGGCAAACCATCTCCTCTCAGAATCGTTTTTCGTATACAATGATATCATATGATATCATGGAATTCAAATTTAATACAATCCATTATACGGTGACCCACTTGTAACCTACTGTACAGCAGAGCGACATCCACTTTCCCGGTTTTTTTTTCTATTGAATACTATTTTATTGAATAGTTTTTTTTATTCTTTTAATTCTTAATTTGTTTCTACTTATAATTATTCTTGTTAAATAAAAATACCATGCCTTCGTGGTTTTACTTTAACATTATAACTCAGTTATACGTGGACAGCCAAACTGTACACACACGTTTTTGTACCCTCCGTGTTAGGTTTAAATTAGTGACGTCTAAACCCGTCTGAATTTTTCGTACTTTATACCATTCGACGCAGTTTTTTAAGCAGTTAGTTATTGACCCTATTGTCTACCAGCTGCAGAACCAATTTCCTTTTTGTTAACTGCAGTACTACAAAGTAGAGATATAGCTCGTGGATTTTCCACTAAATCTAGTTAGGCAAATCGGTGAAAGTACAGAATTTACAGATATAGTTACTAGAATGACCGTTATACCAAGACTAATATCAACGAGCAAAATTGATAATGAACACAAGTGGTGTAATATAATATATACAGTCGAGGTTTTTATTAAACCTTCAGGCCTGAAGGACCAAAATATGTATGCGCCCTAAGTAAGGGCTACCCGAAGGACGTATGACCGAGAACAAGCTGATTTACCAATTTGAATAACCCTTAGATGACGCCAACTAAAGTTCTGAATAGGCAACTCAATATACACCTGACCAAATTGACGATAGGCCATCATTTTCACTACGACGAATCTATGGCGTGGACAATTTTGTAAGGAAATACAATTTAGTTATAAAGGGGGGGGTCTCTGTGGTCGAATTGGTTTGGTGAAATGTCCACAGAGCTCACACAGATCGGGGACTTTACATTAACTTAAAATTAAGGAAGACTGCTATATTATACTGGTAGTCCCTCAGATGATTGCCCGACACACTGGACACACTGGACGATCTGGGCGGCCTCACACACCACTCATTTGAGTGGCTGGAGGACTTACGCACGACATCTATCACCAAGTCCAATGTCGGACAATTTCCAGCAACCAGCCGATGTCAAAAATTATTAAAAATAACTCACGAATATTGCTGGTAACGATGAATATTGTTGAGATATACAGTTGCGTTGTCCGTTACAATAACGAAACGACGGCTATCACACTGACGATACAAATATAATAATGATTGTTGAATCACAGTGATCCGACGATTTTCTGGTAACAATACGGTAATAATAATAATCATAATCCACATACTTGATCACACTACACTGGATGTGTAACACCAAAAAAAGGGTTATATAAGAATACAGCGAAAAAAGAACGTGTTGCGTGTGTGTTACGAGCGTTATAAAGGTGTGTGTGTGTGTGTAAAAAAAAGGGCATTGGCCTCAATAATAACATATCACGAAAAACAAAACAATAACATTGATAATCGTGAGGCCAACGAACGAGCTATAATTTCACACAGAAGACAAAACAAAGAGCATAAATTAAAATATAACAATTACAATTATTTAAACAATTAATATGATGGAGTGGTGGATAGACGAGGAGTAAGATGTCACGGCCGAGCTAAGCATTAATTGCTCGTTGAGAACAGCATTATTAGGGGATATAAATATAAATAACTCTAGTTGGTTTAAACTCGATTGATTATAACTATTTAAATATTATGAAGTCGTCATCTGATTTTAAATCGCTTATCAATGTGTATACTAGAACTGTTCTAGTAGAACACCAAATAATTTAAGACATTCTTGTACAGATCATATTTTTGTCAAAAATAATCCATGTGTTCCTAAATTCATCACCTAATCCAGAGGCTTATCCAGCAGATTGATTGGAGTTTAGGACCACCTTTTTGGGGCATTGCGTTGTTACAAGCTGGTTATTACGTTTAACCGCTATCAACCACTATAATGTTATCATTAGGGCTGGGATTTCGATGCACTTTGCATTGTTTTCCTAAGCTTGCTGTGCAATGCTCGTCTTGTCACAAATTTGTTTTATGTACATTTGAATGAGATAAGAATGTTTATTTTGCATTTTTGGCATTTCTTGGAATTTTTTAGTTTTTAGGTCATTTTCTTAATTTTTTAGGGCATTTTAGAGTATTTGGAGCATTTTTTGAGTTTTTGGAACCAAGTATGAATTTGAAATTTTATTTTAAGATTTTTACACCAACAGGGTTTTTAAATAAATATAACAGATTAACTTTTTTTTTTAGATTTATACGAAAACTATGTATTGACAGCTTACACTTGTAATAGATTTTTGTAATGCATTTTTTTAAACTTTTTATTGTAATTTATATTAAAATTATTAAAAAAAAAAATATTTAGATCATAAAAGCATTTTTTTTAGGGTATTTTTCGGAGTTTTTTAGGGCATTATTTAGAGTTTTTAGGTCATAAAAGCATTTTTTTTAGGACATTTTTTGGGATTCTTTAGGGCATTAAAATCCCAGCCCTAATTATCATAATATCAGTTATCAATTATGTTCAAACAAGATAGTAGATATTTCTCTGGTTGGCCAGGAAGTTCCCATGATGCAAGGGTCTTTAAAAATTCATCTTTGGGACACACATTAATAAATAGTCCTCAAGAAATAATTTCTAAAAACCAGCACATCCTCGGAGATTCAGCATTTCCTTTACTAGAAAATCTCATGGTTCCTTTCAAATTTACTCATATTCTGACAGAAAAGGAAAAGTCATTCAATAGAAGGTTGAGTTCTACCCGAGTTGTTATAGAACAAGCTTTTGGATTGTTACTTGGCCGTTTCCGGAGACTTAAGTAAATAAATATATTTTATGTTTAGTCAAAAATAATTTATAGGTACTAAGAATTTTTAGCAAAATAAGTTTTTCTGTTAGCAAAACAATTACCTTTAAAATGTAATTTATTATTTATATACAAATCCCCCAATACAGTAACTAGTTATCTTACGGACTTACACCTTAAGTAATATATATAAACAAAATTTGTTGTGCAAACAAATCTCTTTTTTTGAATATTTTTATGGAGGAGGGATTTAAAGCAATATTATGCTTATCATTTTTAATAATTAAAATTATTGTCTCACCTTTTTTATTAGAACATTACGTTTAATGTTTTAGGATATTGGAAGCAAAGTCCATTGAATTGATGAGCCTTACAGTGACAAGTGCTTGCATATTACATAATTTAGCATTACAAAATAATGATTTCATAGAGATAGACAATTATCATAATACAGATTTAACAGAATTTACAGAAGAAAACAATCAAGAATGTAGTGTTTCATTAGCAATCAATCAAAGAAATGGGGTTAATAAAAGAAACAGGTTTCAGGTTTTATGAAAATTAAATTTGCATGACAAGAGGAATTTCCTTAAGGCTTTCTGTAGAATTTTTGTTACTTAGTTTGTTTTAAAATATCATATTTAATATGTCAATTTGCAGCAACTAAATACATTTTTGTTTTTATTAAGTTATCTATTTAAAAAAAAAATACTTTTTACCAATATTACCAACAATAAGGACAGAGGTTAGATATCTTGAACCTTTGTAATGTATATTTCATGTAAATACTAATAATAATAATAATCAATTTACACATGTTAACAATGTTTTAATAATAAAAACTTAATATATTAGAAAACTTTAAATGATATTAAACTTTAAAAAAAAAAATTAAATATACAAGGAACAATAACCTTTGCCCATTTATCTTATAAAAATGTTAAAAACAAAACAAAAAACATAACTTTAAGCTTTACATACATATCTATGAAAAAAACATAACAACTGATACCAGTTACAAGGCCCCTCTTATGGATTTACCAACTTTTTTTGACCCCTTAAATCACCATTGACAACACATTAAATAGTTCAACTAGTCAATTCAAATAGTCACCTAACTAGTTATTTCAAACAATCAAATTTAATCAAATTTAATTTTAACCAATTATGTTGTAAACAAACTTACCAATCAGGTATTTCTACACCAACTTTTTCATTTTCTTTAAATGTAAAACAATCCTTAACTAATATGGCAGTTATATTTTTGCACAATGTTTCTTCATCAAGATCTAATAAAATTCATTATGAATAATTAAAATATGGCAATTAGCAATTAGATATCTTAATAATTGTTAAATATAAATTCAAATTAATAATAATAATATTTATAATTAAATAAATAATTAAGCCTTCAAAAGCCAGCCGTGCTATCCCAATATATAATTTGGTGATAAATGTTTACCTGAGCATTTTAGACCTATTTCTTTAAGTCTATTAGTTTCAAAAATCTTAGAACTATCTGTTAAAAGTAGACACCCCAATTTATAAAAATAAAATACTCGGTACTTACAATGATCAAACGATAAACACATGGTGTTTATTTAGTTTATATCAAAGTGTTTTATATAAACAATTTCGTTGTGTATTAAAGTCAATTGAATATCATCCATTTTTACGATTTCAAGTTTGATTCTAAAGTTAACTACAAAACTGAGAGAGACGAGAAATGACTAAAGAGATGAGATGAGATTATGAGAAATGAAAATCGAACAATTCAAGAAAAGCTTATAAGTTTACGACAATTGATGCAAATTCATTGACGATAATTTTGGCGCGAATAATTTTTATCAAATCCATCTGGTTTTGAATTCACCCAGCCGTAAAATAATAGATTGCTGATAACTCAATCGGCTTTATTACCTCCCCTCCAACGAATTGACCATCTGCTGTAATTAGGAACAGTGAAATCACAGAATAAAAGTGAAATCCAGCGGCTGACCAATCTGATGAATTTAGGAACACGCGGAGTGAAATAAAAAAAATTGATCCAAGTTTAAAATACAAGATGATAAGTAGGGCACGGATGTTGTAGCACTAAAAAAATAGTAAAATTGCAGTATTGCACTAAAAAATACCAAAAATTGCACTTAAGATATTAAAAATTGCACTAAAAAATAACAACGTTTTGTTATAAATGTTTTAAGTTTACTATTAAAATTCTAAATAATTCAAAAAAAAATATATACATTACATTATAATCATGCCATTATAAATGTATTATATTATACATCATGGCACTGTACTATAAGTGTTTGTTTTAAATTTTCGAAATCAAACCCTCTTCGATTTGGAGTTAGTAAATTCTTATATCTCGAAAAACTTCGTTCTACGTCGGTTGATGTAAGTGGAGCGTATTTAAAATAAGCTAAATCGCTTACTGTTAAGTCTTCGGGTAAACCATCGAACGATTTTCTTTGTCCAGTTAGTATATTATTGATTTTAATAATGGTTTTAAGTCCGGTATTCTTTTAAATAAACTATCTTATATTTTTCATGGTTATGTTTATGCTTTGCAGTTTCAATATGGTGTGTAACTGTATACCTCCGTTCAGCACTTACTTTTGTTTCACACAATTTACAATAAAGTACGGATTCATCACACGAAAACACATATTCTCCAAATTCTAACACGTAATTTTTTAATTTTTGGCATATTTAACACTGTAACAACACAATCGTTCAAAATTCACGGAGTGACTGAAGAACAGATTATACAGTCAGTCACATTTCACAAATTATTTTTGTATTGTATTGAATACCTATCGACTTGATTTTATCTTTATTTCGATAAGATACCACTATTATACTGTGTAGTGTATACTATACTACTAATTGGGATTTATGGCTGCAGATATTATGGTATAATCTTATCCATACGACCGTTAAGTGTAAAAATGTAAAATATTGCTAAAATAGTTGTATAAATGAGTAAATTCGACAAAATTGCAATAAAATTGAAAAAATCCCAAAAATTGCAAAAAATTGCACTTAAAACTTTTAGATTTGAATTCGTACTTACATGAAACGTATTTAAAACTTACTTAGCAATTAATTGAAAAAGTAAAAAAAAGTTGCAAATGCAACATCATCCGTGCCCTAATGATAAGTAATGCAAATGTAACTAAAACAAAGACATCTCAGAAACCCGACAGCAAACTTTATCTCCAAGCTCGTCTAACTCAGAACCAACATCTCCACAATCACTTCAACATGTAAGTAAGAAATCATTTTCTACTAAAAATCGTTTTGAATTATTGAAAACAACCGATCCATCAGATAAAACCATTGAAAAGGAAACACAGTCAATTGCGGTACTGCCTAATTTACTGATTTACTGATTTACTGATTTACTGATTTACTGATTTGGGGCCATAGCGCCCGTAGCATGGGCAAACTTAGTCCGAAAAAGTTCAAACTTCACAAGTGCCATTATAATACCCCCCTCCAACTCCCTACCAAATTCCAGGTTGCCCCGTCGATTTTCACTTCCGGGTTACTTGTCGCAGAAATATCACAAACTTAAAAACTTAACCAAAAATTATGAAATTTTTTACACGGTATGAGTTGTACCGTATTTAAATACCTTGGAAATTTCAAGTGCCTACCTCGAAAACCCATGCAGTTATAAAACAAATCAGTAATTTATTCACATAATCGAATCAGTAAAATCACGCGCCGCCGTCCAGGAAAACTGCTGATTTGCTCTAAAACCCGCAATAGTATATAGAAAATTATGAAACTTTTTACACTGCATAAAGTGTACCTTATTTAAATATCGTGAAAATTTAGAGTGCCTACCTCGAAAACCCATGTAGCTATAAACAAATCAGTAATTTATTCACATAATCGAATCAGTAAAATCACGCACCGCCGTCCAGGAAAACTGCTGATTTTGCTCTTACACTCGCAATACTTAACCAAAAATTATGAAATTTTTTTCACGGTATGAGTTGTACCGTATTTAAATACTTTGGAAATTTCAAGTGCCTACCTCGAAAACCCATGCAGTTATAAAACAAATCAGTAATTTATTCACATAATCGAATCAGTAAAATCACGCACTGCCGTCCAGGAAAACTGCTGATTTGCTCTAAAACCCGCAATAGTATATAGAAAATTATGAAACTTTTTACACTGCATATAGTTTACCTTATTTAAATATCGTGAAAATTTAGAGTGGCTACCGCTAAAACCCAATCTGTTAAACGCAGTTCAGTAATTTATTCACATATGTCATATTATAAATATACCGGTTTCTACCCGCGAAATGATAAGAATCCTGTATGTTTTGTTGCATTACAACATTTCTGGGGCTCTTACTAAATTAAAGCACTACACAGTGATTTCCAATTTATCCACTTTCCTGAATACATGATTAAAATTAAAGGTTTGTCGTGGCTGCTTCATACCCAAATCAGTAAGTATAATTATTAATTTATCTTTATATGCAAATTAGTATAATTGTAAATTACACTTTTCATTTTTAAGTTAATCATTATCATGCAATGTTAGTTTTGATTTAAAAAATAGGAACGTAGGTATTTATTGTTTTTTTTTTTTTTTACCAACTAAGTACAATACTGAATTACATTTGTATTCCCCTAAGCATATACGAATATTGCTTTCAAGTGTATGTGGTTAAGTGTAGTTTTTCATAATAATATATTCAAATTTGTTTCATGCAAACTCACATAAAGTATATTACTATGATATACCTATCATCACTAATACAATACTATGTAGTATGTACCTAATAATATAGCGTTTAAGTTTAATTTCATATTTATTATTATTTTGATTTTTTTATCATTTATTAGTATATAATATACAATCTGTAACAGTTGCAATAGACGCCAAACGTAGTGTTGTGTATATTTGGAAATTAGTTATAAGGTATATATACCTACTATACCTATACACATTTCTTTCAGATTTACTTCTTAAAAATAATTTTGGATGTATGTTGATGATGTATTGACCTAAAAACTTAGAATTTAATAGAAGGTCCATCGTATAAGCTGCTATACCTAACTTAAGTGGTATATTCATTTTGTTAAAATCACAAACATTTGCAAAAACTATTTGTGAGTTCTACATTCATAGAACTTTCAATTTGAATACTTACATTAAAAAGTATGTTATAAATATAACTATGTTTTTAACTGACAAATGATGCACATCTTGCAAACATCTACATCAAAACCTTAACAATATTCTTAGGACCTTATAAATATATTGAAAATTATAGATAGGTTGTTTTAAAAAACCTAACTGTTGAATTTGATCTCATATTATAACATTATCTATACCTAAATGTAGTAGTTAGATAAGTACCTAATTAATTGAAAGTTTAAGTTTTTGTTGTATTTGCTAAGTTTAATAAAAAAAAAATATATATACACCTTTTTAACCCAAAAGTGATATAAAATATATTTATTTGTTTATTCAACAAAGGCTACCTACATAATTTTAAGGTTTTTCAGTTTGCACACGTTACT